TTGCAGTCTTCCCCCTGTAAATCTCAAGAAACTTACTTTTTTCTTCCACGGCCCGAATAGACAGTAGTCATTGATAGATGTAGGCTGTTTAAACAGGGGAAGCTGACATGACATGTTAATAAGAAGTACGGCATTTTATGCAAGAAATTGAAGGGTGCTGATACTTAACAAATACAACGTAAATCTTCATACTCCCCAGAATGACCAAATAGAAATTTTGCCTTGCGATATCAATACCTTTTTAACAAAGAGGTTATGGGAATAAAAATAAGACATGAACCAGGGAATGTGGTCTGATATGGAAACAGATTCTCAGGGGAAGCATCCTATGGAATATATGAAACACAGTTCTGAGAATTGATGCATAGATCTTAGAGGTGAAAGAGTTAATGATGGCATTTCAGAAACCTTCAAATAACACGCGATTTTTACCACCATTTTGCTAACGTCTCGGTAATGCTTTTATGCTGACAGGTCTTCCGTTGAATTGATCCTCTTTGTTAACCCTGTACACCCTTATATCAGTATGCATATTCTCCAAACTGTGTTCTATGCATCTCCTATGGTGCTGACAAAGAGAGCTAAAGAAGGTTTGTTTTACGATTAAGAGCTTCATTTCCTTTATTCTTTGACCTCAGTGTATGATTGAGGGATGATATTGTCGGCTTGTGGGTTAAAGGGATAAACATGCAGGATAAAAGAGGCTCTCTCACTGCGATGAGTAAGCACGACCTATTTTTAGATGTTTGTCTATAACCTTTCATTGAAGACCATGTTGGTGTCTAAAACTGTGTCGATGAAAAGGGTACACTCAAATTATAAGTTGTAACAGATGCATCATTGTAGTGCGTAGCTGTTACTCTCTGTAGATGGGCCATTTTATTCGCTCACCCAGCCGACTACACACCCGTGTGTACCACCGAGTTAGGCTGCTTGGTTGGAATGATCCCAGAATTCACCAAGCGCGGTGTAAAGCTCATTGCTTTGTCATGTGATGATGTTGACACACACAAGGGATGGATGGAAGATATCAAGGCCTTCATCAAGACAGACCTAATGGACTTTCCTTATCCAATTATTGCCGACCAAGGGCGTGAATTGGCTGTTAAACTCGGAATGGTCGATCCCGATGAAAAAGATTCTAAAGGACTACCACTTACTTGCCGTGCGGTAAGTGTTTTAAATTAAGACGCTGCGGCAGAGCGGTTTTCGCTTTGTGCGCATGATCGAAAGATCCGAATTCGAGACGATTGGAGACCTTTCCAAGATAATTATAATTGAGAGACACTATTCCCTCACAGCGCCCCTCTTCACAAGGATGATAAGTGGATACTGGTGAATTCTCAGGGAAACCTGATAAATCCTTGGGGTGAGGGGAACACAGTTATACTCCGTGTCGCTTCATGTTTCCAGATACATGGATAAGCTCTTGCTCATCAGTCTTATATATACTCGTAAAGAGTTTCAAAGCTGACGTTTCGAGTGTTAGCCCTTCATCAGAGTGGGGCTAATGCTCAAAACGTCAGCTTTGAAACTCTTTACGGGGGCCAATTTACTTTATCAACTCAGTTGATAAAACTAAAATTACCTTGTTACTCCTACCGACGCAGCGCCCCAGTTTCTTTAGGTTGCATAGTCGGTTGCTTTTACTCGGTTGCAAAAACTTTGACACCTTAAATGCAGGAACCATGGACAGTCAGACTTCAACATAAACCATGAACACAATTTCTCGTGATTCTTTCTAACATTAAATTCTCTTAAAGTTCACATAATCTTTCGGCTGAAAGTAGGAATGGAGCCACGAAAGATATTTAGCACATCAACCAAGCAGAGCGCGAAGTTCGTAAGCCAAACTGACGGGTTTATTTTTAAATCGACGTCGTTCATATCGTATGACTTTTCTTGAAGTCCTCTTTCCACCTTTTCCCCCTTTCCACCCTTTCCCAAACAGACTCTAAATTCTTACCTTCCTAGATCGATCAATAATCCAAAAGTGCTTCACATTAGGGACCGACCATTGCCAATCGCTTAACTTGAGGGACTGCCGGGCGGAGTCGGAGAATTTTGGTTGTGTCACCATAAAATTTACCTGATCCCCTTATCAGGCTATGACCCCCTAATTAGAAGTTAATTGGCAATCAGTTTTCTATAGTCCCCCTTTATGCTCTGTTAGCAACGCAGATCTCCCCCTCCGTTTTTTCTGAAAACCAGGCGATCCTCGCACATTTTCCAATCCCCCGCCCCCTGTTAAGGTGGTAAATAATGACTGTTCCTTTAAATTGACATTTCCAACTATATGTTGCACATTTATCAAATTTCTTTTGCTTTTTCATGTTATAGGTCTTTGTTATTGGACCAGACAAGAAGCTTAAGTTGTCATTCCTCTATCCAGCGTCGTGTGGACGGAACTTGCAGTAAGTCACGTCGTTCACCCTCGACGCCCTCAATTTCAAGATGCTGACGAAGAGATTTTGTTTAACAATCAAGAGCATCTTAAGTTGATGACCATTAAAGCCTCGAGAGTAACCTGTTATTTTTCTTCGTTTGCAGTGAATTATTACGTGTGATTGACTCATTGCAGTTGACTGCCACGAAACAAGTTGCCACTCCTGCAGACTGGGAGGTAAGTTAATTTGATCGGAAATAATCAAGATACACGAGGCTCCTTCAAGATGGAGAGAATAAGTAAAATCAGTCTGAACTGCGTTGATTTTGTTAAGGAGAGGGATGAAGTTTGAAAGATCTAACAGAACGATTTGAAAAAGTAAAGAACTTGTGTTAGTTGAAGGGCTTGGTCAGTTTGTAAACATTATTAGGCATTAGATGCCTTAACGGGCAACAAAGAAACCTTACAAATTGCGTGTCCTCCTAACTTGCTTCTTTAAGTTCGTCGCCCGGTTGTTTGTGAAACCCTAACGGTATATCAGATTCGCGTCGAAGCTTAAATTTTAGCGGACGCCATTGAATCCATTTTTAGATGTGAGGACCAGTTTATCACTTAGATCGATAATAGTTGGTCGATGGTTGGTTGCCAAGCCTTGGAACAGGAGTGAAGCTAAGGGTCATCTTGTTATGAAACAAACCTTGCTGCTCTTCAAATGTAAATTCCTTTGTTATCATGCTAACTAGATACTAGTCTCTATTACAACAAGGTCACCTTCAGCCTCACTCCAAATCAAAGGCTTGGCAACTAAGGATAGACATTGGCCTGTCTACCTGAGATAGACAGGCCGTCGTTTAAGAAAATATATCTTTTTTTTATTGTGGTTCTTACGAATTATGACAATCGGCCGTTTTACAGTTGTGTACTTTTGGCCTCTTCTTATGAGCCCGGTTGACCAGACTGGCCCGGTTTCCGAGATCTCGCCTTACCTCTAAATCCTTTGTAAAATTCCGCCTTCTTATAGACTGACACATCGAAACTTTTACAAAGGATTTAGAGGCCGGTAAGGTGAGATCTCGGAAACCGGGCTAGCCCGTTCAACCGGGCACATAAGAAGAGGCCCAAAGTACACAACTGTAAAACGGCCTATTGTCATAATTCGTGAGAACCACAATAAAAAAAAGATACATTTTCTTAAACGACGGCCTGTCTACCTCATGGAGAACCAGGCACCTCCTCAATCCACCCTTTACCCTTTACTGAACTCCCAAGATCTCCTTAGTAATTCTCCTTACTGTCTGCCATACAATTCTTGTGGTGTCAGTTCGGAGAATTTGGTATTGGAGCGACTAATAATCCCGTTTTGATATTTTCTTTATTCTCATCACTTGTCTGGTTGATATTGTATGGATATATATTGTAAGGAGAAATTTTGTTTCTGTCACTCGTGAGATTTAAAGGGTCAAAGAAACTGGTCTCCCTGTGAATAGTTATGCTCGCTTACTATTCTAGCTAACTAATGCTAACTATGCTTAGAAGTGAATTTATCTTCTTTTAATTTGACCTTTCTCAGCCTGGCAAGGACTGTATGGTTCTACCAACGGTAAAAGATGAAGATCTCGATAAACTATTTCCAAAGGGCGTCAAAGTCAGAGAAATGCCCTCGGGTAAAGGATACATGCGTTACACTCCTCATGAACAAACAGAATAAAACTGAATGCGAATAAAAGCTTGTCAGTTGTCACCACACAAAGTCTAGTGTCTTCTTCTGACTCACTTGCCAAGGTTCAGCGCGACTTGGGAGTTTTTCGTACTAACATCGTTTTCTCAGTCCGTATTGTGTAAGTCATAGACCGAGCGTGAGGGCCGTAAATCCGAGCGGAAAAAAACAAGGTTCCGAACTGATAGTAGCTATCATATTTCTGGGTTCAAATAGAGAGGAAAGAGTTAAATTCCAAAAAAACTTTTGAATTTAGCGAGCCATACAAATATAGCCGGGTGTGGTCATACTTCATTAAGGCAAATTTGAGACAAGTGAGCCCGCAGTTGTTTCTTTCCTCTGTGAAATGAAGACAGGAGAAAGTGAATTTTGTCGTAACTTGCCCTTTTTTATGCATCAATTTTTTTCTACCGCTTTTGCCCATGACCCGCGCAGAAATTTCTTCAACAGAAGACTAAAATTTTTACAAATTTTATCTTCAGCTTAAGGTTATTATCTATTTATTTGTTAACCCGATATTTTAGACGGGTTAGCCCAGTTCAGCATTTAACAGCTAGTTTAAACAGAATAATTTGGATATATCAACAAAGTTGAAATGGTAAATTGACCACCGTAACGATTACAAAAGCTGGCGTTTCGAGCGTTAGCCCTTCGCCGGAGCGAATAGAGGAATTGTGGGTTGTGTGTGCTTTTAAAGGCAGAAAATGGAGCTACGTTATTGGTGGGAACATGGCAACGAGAAAAACACGAATAAATTAGTGGAATGAAAAGCGTTCGTTGATCCCTGTGGGATTTAGACGGCCGGTTTGAAAGATGAGCTTTTGTTCAACAGTTTTACGGCTTTCCGTGCTACCTAAGTATAAGGAAAGACCGCAGATTGCCATATGTTGCTTAGTTTAAACAGAAGCCCGTATTAATAATAACAAGGCCAGACCACACAACACCGGGGCCCACGTTTCCGATTGTCTGTGAGAAGTTCGTGGTGGGTTCTTTAACGTCCACTGCAAACCAGTACAGAGAACGTGCTGGAGAGGCCTAACGGTTCATCGCTCTTATCCGAGAACACTTGAGTGTCTAACCATTTGCTGATGTCATAGCGAAGGCACTACATTCTCCTCAGTTATTTTAAGACTCTAGCGATCTGAGCGTTGGTCCGGTTTACTTCCAATACTTCATAATGACATTATTTAAGCTAACCCGTTCCTCAAATTTCTATAGAAACAGGTGAGGATGCCTTCAGTATATATAAACTTCTTTTTGTTTTCCGAACCCAGTGCTCAAAGCTATTATAAATTTTGTCTAGTTTTTCAAAGCGCCTCAAAGTTAAATTGTCACGATAGGATTTCAATTGAGTTTCTGTTAGGAGGCGATTTATAGCGCGAAAGAAAATTATGGGATGCGACTCCGCGGCGTTTTATGTAAGAAAATAACATGATTTTCGTAACGCGAAATTTGATTGCCCTAAAATTTCGTAGATGAATCTGACAGCGTCAGTGACGTGATTGAATAAGCGTAATCTGTTATGCGGAAAAAAAAAAAACCAGCATAACATGACTATACGGTGGCCCATAGGGGACATGACACTCGGTGATAGCCGAGTGCGACTCAAGAAGCTAGAGTCGCACTCGGCTATCACCTCGAGCGACTCTCACGCTTCTTTCATGCTTAGCAACCTCCCGCGTGCATACATAACTCCATGGTTGCACGCTGCACGCTAACCCTTTCTTAATTTCGACACCAAGTTAGCGTGCAGCGTGCAACCATCGAGTTATGGATGCACTCGGGAGGTTTGCTAAGCACTCAAGAAGCTAGAGTCGCACTCGGCGATCACCTCGAGCGACTCTCACGCTTCTTTCATGCTTAGCAACCTCCCGCGTGCATACATAACTCCATGGTTGCACGCTGCACGCTAACCCTTTCTTAATTTCGACACCAAGTTACCTTAGGCTTACCTTTCTCACTATATTTTTTGAAGAAAGTTAGTCCTTTTTTACCATCTTGTTATTTTGTCAAACGATCGTAAATTCTGGGCTGGTTCGAACTTTTCTTTGTGGAATATACTGAACTTGTTATCTCTTTTGGCAACTTGGTGTCGTTACCTCAAAATGTACACTCCAATTTCCTACTGATAACGCCTGAGTTTGTTAAAAATTAAATATTGCCAGTAGTAAACAGCAAAAACGACGAAAAAACTATCATACTGCATTAGAGTGATTCACGTTTAAATCTATTCTACGTTTACGACGAACATTTTCAAGTCGAACTGAAACTGAACCACGGAGTTTGCCAGCTCTGAATAATTTACAGTCGGTTCGCCTTTGCAATATTTCCGCTTTTCGCTTTTTTCTTATTATGTTGACAGAAGATCTTGAGTTCCTGCCTGTCTAGTTTTATCGAACCTAATTGATATATAATCAATGTTTTATGTACAAACAGTGTACTCTTCAGCTCTTTATATTAACTTCTAATTAAGTTTGAATTTAATATCATAGGAATCGATTTGTAATAATATCATGGGAATCAATTTGTCCTGTCTTGTTGTCTTGTTTTCAACCTGACAATTTTTGTCGAAGCATGCACCTTGGTCCATCAAAAGTCTTAAAATGATAAAAAAAATAAAATAAAATAAAAAAATAAAAAAAAATAAAAAAAAACTAAATTCGCCAGAGTTTTATCAAGAGCCAAGCTACGAAACCCGAAGAAATCACTTAAGTAATAAAACTGGCCTGACTGAACGACTTTAACAACTAAAAACCCTTTATCGTAAAAATTCTTTCTCTTTGGCCATCGTAGCTTGATAAGAAATAGCACACAAACTGCAGTTACAAACATGACAGTAAAACGTATGTTGGAAAACAAGATTAGTAAACTTTACTTGACGTTTCGTATGCTTCGACATACATCTTCAGAAGTGACAGTTAATAATACACGTGGCGACTAAGGGGCCGACCATTTAACTTTTGAG